GGTGAGTGTGTATCAAACTGACCAATCAAACCTTCCATCAACAGATCCGTGAGTGTGTATCAAACTGACCAATCAAACCTTACATCAGCAGAACCGGTGAGTGTGTCTCAAACTAACCAATCAAACCTTCCATCACGTACAGCCAATTTTTAAACGTTCATCTAAAATTACTTTATTTGTGAGTGTGACCAAAAGTTAACAGAGAGAGAGAGAAATACGTGCTTATTTTTGTGGTTGACCTCTATTTTCAACCACACAAAATCCTCAATAACAGAGCAACTCTAAGGTAATAAATATGATTCGCAACTTCGGTACTCAAATAAGATAACTTCGAAACGCAATTAATAGGATCTTTTAATAAGTTTGACGAAAATCTAAATAAAGCACTTTTAATTGGTAGGTAAAATAACTACTTCTTCACCCCATCACATACTAGAATTTTAATAAAGTAAAAACATTTTCAAGGGAATACTTAATAGTTTACGTCCTAAAAATCAGAGGGCGACACCGTATTGGATAACTGCACAACAAAACAGATTCTATAGTACAGAACATGATCTACTCAAGTTAGTTCGTTGTCACGGTAACATTTTCTCTATTATTGTTACATTATATCCAGAATAATGCAGCTAAGTACTTCCAAGTAATTCAAAACACGGGAGATTGAGGAATGATTATTATGTGATTAACACTTATGAAGAATGTAAACAGCAATTTGTTGAAATGAAAGTGTGAGGCATCGACAAGTTTACGGTCTTATAACGATCAAATCCGGGATTCGATTCCCCGCGGTAGACAGGGCAGAATAGCTCAATGTAGCTTTGCTCTAAAACAAACAAACACGCATAATTTTTGATAACTGTTTCACTTAATTTCACGCGTGTCTAGAAAACATTCAAAATTTAGCCAATAGTTTTTAGCATAACCTATTTTTTGTGAGTAGTCAAGTTAAGCCTTAATGATGTTATATGTACATGAACATGCTTTATGAATTTTTTTTTTTTGTATTTTATCTGATGGACCAGTTTTATCCAATGTAAAATTCCATTATGTATCCTACCGTTCTTACCCCTACCTAGTTCGATCAAGTCTTTACAATGTGGATTTTATAAAATGGGCTATCTACGCTCTGCCCACCGCGGGTATCGAAACTCTGTTTTTGTGGTTAGTGATAACGTAGCTTAGTGTTGTTTTTAAGACTGCGGCAAATGAAGAGTACACCAAATATGCCACTTAATTTTCAAAAACATAAGTGAATTTTTGCACTACATTTTACGACGGTTAAAAAACGAAAATTTATGAGAATTGAGTTTAATAGTTTCATGATGTAATTGTAAACAAAATAGGATCGGCATTTATCTTAGGGCTTCGAGATTGTTGTTTCTTCTTAGCTGATCAAATTGAATATTTAAAAAAATGAAAGATATTTCTTTTATAAGATTAGCGCATCTGTCGTATATTTGTATGACAAACGACAACAACAAATTAAAAAGTCCTAACATTCTACATTTATATAAAGGTAAAAAAAACGCATCAGGTTTTGAATCTATATTTGTCAGATTCTGTAAGTTTTTCTCACAATGTGTGGCATTTTTCTCTTATTTTCTTGACTATGCAAGAAATGTGAACGATATTGTATTTTCTCTTACATAATTTCTTAGGTTCCCATTGAAAACATCTGGCTGTTTGTATTACTACAATTAGACTCATCTGGCTGTTTGTATTACTACAATTATACTGATTTTGCTGTTTGTGTTACTGTAATTATACTTATCTGGCTGTTTGTATTACTATAATTATACTCATGTCGCTGTTTGTATTACTATAATTATACTCATCTGGCTGTTTGTATTACTATAATTATACTCATATGAGTATACTTATAGTAATACAAACAGCCAGATGAGTATAATTATAGTAATACAAACAGCCGATGAGTATAATTATAGTAATACAAACAGCGACATGAGTATAATTATAGTAATACAAACAGCCAGATTACTATAAATGAGTATAATTATAGTAATACAAACAGCCAGATGAGTATAAATGAGTATACTTATAGTAATACAAACAGCCAGATGAGTATAATTATAGTAATACAAACAGCCGATGAGTATAATTATAGTAATACAAACAGCGACATGAGTATAATTATAGTAATACAAACAGCCAGTGAGTATAATTATAGTAATCTGGCTGTTTGTATTACTATAAGTATACTCATGTCGCTGTTTGTATTACTATAATTATACTCATCTGGCTGTTTGTGTTACTATAATTATACTCATGTCGCTGTTTGTATTACTATAATTATACTCATCTGGCTGTTTGTATTACTATAATTATACTAATTTCGCTGTTTGTATTACTATATTTATACTCATCTGGCTGTTTGTGTTACTATAATTATACTCATTTTGCTGTTTGTATTACTATAATTATACTCATCTGGCTGTTTGTGTTACTATAATTATACTCATCTGGCTGTTTGTATTACTATAAGTATACTCATGTCGCTGTTTGT